AAACTCAATAAGATCGGAGGCGGACACTTGGGAATGTTTCCTTGTGAGTATTGTACGAACCGACATACTCAGGTAGCAGAGTAACGTCTCCCCAGAAAACACTCCTGGAACCTATGAATGTTCTACGAACATTCACCTCGTATATTTCGTTGTTCCCAGAATATGATGCAAATATTTAAGGTATGCAGGGAATATTCGTGGAATGCAGAATGTCCGCCCGGTGGACAATCATATAATATCCACAGGAATATTTGTTCAGATATTCAAAAAATATTGTCATCCATTGAATAAAAATATTCCATATCTATTACTGTAAAATGATCGGATCCCAAAAAATGTTGGGTCTAATTAATAAACTTTTACATGGATTTATTAAAGTGAAGAAAATAAATTGACGCTGGCATGTAAAAAGTTAAAAAAGAAAAACAAGCTCGGTAAATACTGAACATTAATCGGAAATCCCACATTTTTCCGTAAAGACTCTTAAGCGCTTTAAGTCAAAGAGCTACATTTTTAACAATAGGGATAATTAATGATTTTAAAGCGTAGTACATGAGATGTACTGTGCTTCCGCCCAATGTTCATCGGACCGTTCTACAATCCGATGAAAATATTTAAGCAATTTAGATGTTATAACTATCATTCTGGAAATGAAAATATGCCTTATATTTTCTAGTCTGTCTACTATATAGATAACCAGGATGAAAACTGGATTCTACTTCGGACTGTTTTAAAAACGAAAATAATTCAATATATTTACTGCAGAATTAAGGAATAATTTTTTTAAACATTCAAACAAACCTTTTTGAGAATGTTCAATGCATGTCTGGCTTATGAATGTACATACAGAATATTCACTAAATATTCCAAATATCCAGAATATATTAAAGGTTTTAAAGAATATTCATAGGTACAATGGTGTTATCGGGATCATTACATGAAAATGACGTGATTTTTGGAGATCATTCGTCGCGTTTCATAGAAGACTAAAAATTTATGTGTTTTACACGTGACATTTGTGCCCAAATAAAGACGTCGACGAATTACGTGTTATACTCGTCAAATAAACCGGTAAAGAATCTTCGAAATAATACCCGATTATTTACTCGTTTATTTAACGTGTATGACACGTGATGGATTCACATCTTCATTTTGGTACAAATGTCACGTGTAAAACACGACATTTTTTAGTCTTTCATATATTATTGCGATTCTCAGATAGCCGAGAACGCAATATTCGTGGGGTTTTAAGTCAGATATTACGTCAAAATCACCAAATAGTACTATCACTAGATATTAATAGTTTAGTAGTGAGCCGATATTCTTCTAAAGGACCCATGACCCAAGACCACAATAAACCATTTATCTGACGCAGTTCTCTCTGGAATATCAAACGAGTCGAAAACAAATTTTCATGTTACAATGTCTTCTAATTGTGTATTACGTAAGAAAATTTAATTACTTGGATATCAGAAAGAGTGCTATGTGAAATAACTGGAAGCAGATTGCCATTAAATAGACAAGTTTAAGTGTATTATTTTTCAATTTTCGCGTGGTGAAGTTAACTTTACATGAAAGTGCCAGACTAGCATTGGAAGAAGTTATTGTTTTTTGGGAAATGCACGAATTTCGATATAAGATTTTCACATTTTTTTTGGAAACCGTCATACGAGAAAAAGTCATACATAATAATATGTGCATTTTTAATAGATCTACAGTTTTGGTGTAAAGCTTTTTTGCATATAATTAATATTTTGTAAGATAAAGAAATAAAATTTATCTTTTCTTTAATTTTTTTTTTTCGATTTTCAAGGACCCAGGGGCACCCTTTCTTTTTGTCTAATTAAGCTCAAATTTTCCACGAATTATTTTGACATAAAATGGAACCAAACGGGGGGGGGGGGGAGGTAGCGCGATGAAAATTCAAATTTTGAAAATAAGAGCTGCCCTAGGCTGACGTCTATTTCGCAGCTCCTCTTGGTAATGTTTAACACTATTTTTTTTGGCAGTGCATTTTCATTTCTCACCCCTAAATTTTTAAGAATGACCTATACATTGATCAAAATGTAGGAGCTCGATGACCGAGGAGCTATTCCCTTGGAAATCAGGGAAATCGATTTCCTTCATTGAGAACTGATTGCCTTTGATTATATATGATAAACAACAATGCGATTAGGTAACACAAGTGGCAGTCGGCCTTATAATTTTGGCAACGTTTTGGTGATTTCCAACGATTTCCAGGGATATCTGCTTGCGATTTCCAGTTGATATCCACGTTATTTCGAGAAATAAAATACATTATTTCCTCAGTAACTACCCCCTCGTCGACGACGTTCTGATTCTGGCCACAATAAGACAAAACAATTGTTTTGAAGTTACAAATTTTGAAAGTGTCCGAACGTTCCGTAGATGTTCACATTTCGTATGATAAAATGTCAGCTAGCTCGGTAGAATACCTTTTAAAAAAGTGCCTCGTTCGATTGATTCGCGACGGGTTTCACTTCAACTCAACGAGAAACACGTACCCTTAACTGTGGGTCGACGACGGATGTCGTATCGTTGATGGGTCCCATTTTGCACGTTCCTGCGTAATGATAGATGGTAACGGCAATGGTACGAACAGCACATTTCCAATAATCATCGGAATCGAATTCGTAGTCTTCGCAACCGTAAATTGGATTGGAGTAGAAGTAAGAGCCATATTTCTTCATCGCTTTGGAGTTCCCGATAGAGAGGGCGGCTCTGATACTTTTTATCATATCCCTCGTGTCGTCCGGATGACTGAAGTAGTTGGGAATGATCTTGGGCTTGTCGTGGATGCTTTTTGCGCCCAGAAGTATCCGACCACGACTCTTCGGATGCAAAAGGATAGGTAAACATACCCAGGCTCTTTGTCCTCTCAATTGAGAATACGTCTTTTTAAATAATTCATCAGTTAGATGGAGCCGGAGTTGACCATTCGGACCAAAAAAAGGGTTGGCGCTACCCATCAGCAATTCCACGTTCGGGAAAGCATCGGTTTCATTTGGTCTGTCGACATTGAGAAAGGCGAGGGCTTCCAATCCGCTAGGGACGGTCAATGGTCCTGTCCGGTTCTGCACGTACTCCGCCACGTATGGGTTCTGAGGCTTCATAATTTCTGACAAAGGCAGCGCCTCGTCGGAAAGGAAGATCAATCCCATAAACATGACGTGATCCATCAGATTTTCTCCAACCGGAGCATCTTTATGAACGTGGATTTGCATTTTCTGCAGATGATCCGCGGGACCGATTCCTGACAGCATCAGCAGCTGCGGGGACCGAATGGCACCGGCGCATAGGATAACCTCCCTCTTAGCATTCGCCACGTACTGTAGTTTGTCCTTCTCGAACTTCACCCCATAAGCTCGCTTGGACTTCTCGTCGATTAGAATCTTAGTTACCAAGCTGTTCTTCGTCACGAAGAGGTTCTTCGCATCCCTGATGGGACGTAGGTAAGCCGAGTTGCTGCTGAATCGCGAGCCGTTCTTCAGGGTCGCTTGTATGTAGTCGATCCCTGTACCAGTAAAGCCGTTGTAGTCAATTTTTTGGTATCCCAACTCAGCCCCAGCTTCCAGAAAGGCATCGGCTAGCTTAGTTCGATATGGCACTCTGGAGATGTGAACTGGACCGCCGACGCTATGCTGGGCCTTGTCTTTCCGTAGTTCGGGGATGCCCATGTCCTCTAGCTTTTTGAAGTACGGGAGGACGTCCTCGTAGGACCAACCCTCGTTGCCCATCTCCGCCCAAATGTCGTAGTCCTTGTAATTCCCTCTGGTGGCGATCATGGAGTTGAGCACGCTACTTCCGCCCATGACCCTTCCTGATGGCCAGCTGCAGGAGTGCTCCTTCATGCCGAGGCAATACTCGTTCGAAGGCTCCGTTGCGAATCCCCAGTTGAGGTCTTTATTTAACTGCATATTGGATGCGAGCAGCGGTATATCCATCGAGGCAGTTTCATCGGATCCAGCCTCGATCAGCAGAATGGTCGCATTTTCGATCTCGCTGAGTCTTCTGGCCACGGCTGACCCTGAACTTCCTGCACCCACGATCACGAAGTCGTACTCTGAAATGGTCCGTGGGGTCACGTCTGGAGGCTCATCCGAAGGGTTCAGGAGCTGCTGACGATTCTCCCAAATATTGTTTTCTAGGCCCGAATTATCCCCGATAAATGAGATTGTTCTACAGACGGTGCTAAACTCGCTATCCAGGAAAAACCGACCGATGGGAAGGGATGCGATAAAGGTTAAGCCTACCGCGAGGTACTGGCGAAGGATCATGATAGCTGCTTGACCGCACTTGGTGGACTGAAATACTTCAATGTGAATACTGAAGTGAAAATATTCTGCTATTATATAAGCAAAAAGCAAACATCTTACAAGTATGATTAGCCTACGTAGACATTAATGGTAGGCTGCATTCGTGTCAGTAGATACGGAGCCTTTCAAAGTATTCGTCGCGTACGTTGACTGTAATTTGTATAATAATCTCGAAAACTCGTCTCCTGAAGTGGACGGTCTTGCAATGATTCAAACCAGGTGGTTTTCCTTGTAACCTTTGTTGCCTTATCTTAACTGCTTGCGTTGTCCTGGTTTCCGATAATTTAAAGTATTTCTCCTGTCAAAAGTAAGCGATAATAGATACGTGGAGAAAGGCAGTGGTAAAAAACGCTGACCGTGCAGAAATTACATTTGTGTAAAATTAAAACTAAAGTTTATCACTTGATAACGTCTGTGCCAATCTATCTAGGCCAGTGTTTTAAGGCCAACGTCAACTCCAATTTCTATGCAACGTTTAAGTCTTTTCGTTTTGAAAAAGTATCCGTTCAACCTCTAATCCTTGATCGATTCAACCATTTCACCTTAGGATCCTGGAACTTCCAGTCAAGATTTCTTCTCCGGCTTAGGAACCGTCATCATCAAAGCAGTTTCCTCATTCCCTGTAAATTAAATGCGCCTCATTATTCACATTTCACCCGTTGTAATTTCTGCACATAAAAGCATCTCCATCCGTAACCTGGTTTAATTCGTGGCTACTGATCCCGGAAAACGACACCGATGTCCGGTTTCTGATGAATCCTAGAAAAAGCGTCATATATCCCCGGTTTGACGTGTCATTCTGTCGTAACCACGAGTGGCCATTATTTTCGGCCACCTCGAGCGATTCGCAATTTTGCAGTTGCAACCGGGGACCATCTATATTTCTGGAAACCTCTTGCGGCTCGGCCGGGCATTTCGCAATGTTATCGGCAATCTCGAAAATTACCAGGGACTTTTAGTAGTCTAAACACGGCAAAAAGGGGGTTGGAGGATGGTGCAACCCTAAACACTTGCAATTACGCGTGGGTTTATTGCGCCTTCATAGGTGCATTCGTTTCACGTTACTCTTTCCTTGGGGCCTGCTCGCTCTTTCGCTCTCATTCTCGGTTTTGGTTGGTGTCCATGTTTGCATTTCGCGAACAGACTCGATTTGGCAGATAATAACGGGTTCGCATTTCCTTGGAAACGTGTCGGCCGATGTTACTCCCTGATCGCAATTGCGCCTGCTACGAATGGCTCTAGCTCTTTTTTTTACCAGACTCCAACGCCTTCGGGAGATTTTTCTTCCCTGAAGCAAACATACTGAAATTTGCGAGAAAGTACCTCTCGTAACTCTGGAAACGTAATGCGGTGTCGCCGAGGTAATGCTAATGGTTTGCTTTGACTTGTCATGTCACATGGAGAATATGTTTTTCGTGCTTCTCCAAGGACGAGGATTTCTCATGATACGGCACAGAACGAGCACTTCTCATGATACCGTAAAGGATGATCACTTCTTATGGTGACTCTCAGAGACGAGCACTTCTTAAGATGTCAGGTTGTACAGACAGTTATTATATTTTTTTTTGCTTAAGATTTTATACTTTATTTCCAAATAAAGTTTTTTTCTCTATCCATATTATATACGATTTTGAAGCGCAGACTTCGCTTTATGTTTCGATAACAATAATTGTGTCTGAATTTTTGTCTTTCATTGCGTTAATGACCGCGGATCGCCTAGAACACTTTTGATCTGCAAGGTTTTAGCCACTGCCACGGAAGTTTTGAAACCACCATTGCGCTGTACTTTCATTAGTGGTTCCTGGGTCAAATGTGTCATTGATACTACGAGCCACTATAGTTGTATTGCGGTTGATTTTAAACTTGTACAAGAAAAACGTCCGACTTTGTTTCTTTTCCATCTTTTATTAAGGGGGGGAATATGAGAATATCCATTTTTCAGATAGGTGCAAGAAAAAATAAATCACCACATGTAAATACAGTTTAAAAGTGTTATTAACCATACTTTTAGGTACATATTGTTATTTTATGTCTTCACGTGATTTGCTTTTTAACTGTTTTGATATTTTTAAGCTATTTTCCAAAAGTGCCATTTTTCATGCTTTGTTATATGATATCTGAAAAATGTTGGTTCCGCATAATTCATATTCTACATACATGTTAATATGTGGCTATTGAAATGACCACCAACAATTACGTAGAAGCAAAATCACTGAAAATATTAGGTATCCATTGACATTGTTTTCGTTAGTTTTTTCATACTTTGATAAAAAGTCTTTCCAAAATTATCGAATACTAGCAGAAATGAACGGAAATTACAATTTCGGAGCATGTACTCATTATGATCCTTCTTTTAACCCTTTAATTAGGAAACGTCACTGTAGCGGCTTCCGTATAACCAACGTCTTTTTACAAAGCGCCACTATAGTGGCCCCCTTTATTCCTATGCATTCAAAGTGACAAATGAATATCGTATTTATATAAAATATAAGCACTCCACGGCCGAGCTATCCGTACAGGTGGAATACCTCCACACCTGACTCCGCCGTAGTTAAAGGATTGAAAGCGAAATACTCTATAGTGATCGGTTTGCCTAAATCGAGGATGTACATCAAAATACGATTGTATACAATGTATCAAAATTTAAATATTTGTTATGTAAATGATAAATAATTATATGAATACGTATCTACAAGTATGGTTCATACATTCGCGACCGGCAAATTTTTTCCGTTTCAAATACTGAGTACCGGCGAAAATAATGAAATTCTGAGATTGGTTGCCGCAAACTTGTATCGTGTATCGTTATGGACGTGATTCACGTCCGCGGCAATCAGGAATAAAATTAAAAATGACGTGAATTCACGTCAGCGGCAACCAAGAATAGAATTTGAAAAGACGTGAATTCACGTCAGCGGTCGCGAATGTATTGATAACATGCTGAAACTGTATTTAAATTTTGTATTTCACTGTCTTTTTAAGTCTGTTTGGGGAGTTTTAACACCGTCAATAGTTAAAAATTGCTTTAAATAGTTTACCTACCTAGCCTCGATTCAAACCTTTAAGACTCGATGCTTTGAATAGGTCAGGAAATTTCTTGGAATCATCGATTCTGATTTTCGACAGTCCTCGACCAATGACGGACTGCAAAAGTCGTCTTCCTCGTCTGTTTAAGTCGAACAAGTTCACCGACACCGACATTTCCGCTCGCATTTTCTTCGGAGAATTTTTACCGATCAATCGCGTTGATTATCCATGTTTAATGTTCCTTGGCTAAGCTGCATCCGCGTTCTTCCATGCATTGTTGGGCGCCATTAGACGCTACACAGGAAACGGCCTGCTGCGTGGAATGATTCATTACCTGAATTAACAGAAACGGATGTTACTGGCTGAATAATACCGCCAGTATTATGTTTCATTTTGCCCGGATTTGAGCGTTTTATTGTTGATGAAAGATGCGATTTAGCAACGGCGGTTTCGTAAGACGCTGCCTTTCAATGACACAATACCGTAGTCATAAGAACTGGTCCATTGGATTCTTGTAAACACGGTCAAACGTTTCAGTCATCATCTTACGTACACGTGTATTCAAAAAATATATGCGAAGATTTTTTTTTTTTACATTTAAAACTAGAAAATCGTAACTTAGTACCACTTAACGAAACGCTTTCATAATGTGAAAGACATTAGACGGTTCTTTATGAATGACTAGATTTAATAGCCTACGATTTGCAGTCTTAAGGTGATATGAAAATGTGATATATATAAATAACAAAAAGTCAAAATATTTATAAAACTTTTCTCCAAACTGAGTGTACCGAATTATCCGAAACTTTAACACATGATTACGGAGTCCCTAAGGAATAACGCGTTGTTCATGAAATTTCTTTTTTCGAAAAAAATTGTCTACCTATCTCGGACAAAAGCCAAAGAAATACATTTTTTTTCGAAAAATGAAATTTTACCGGCAGCGCGTTCTTCCTTAGAGCCTCCATAATCACGTGTTAAAGATTTAGATAACGTGGTACACCCAGTTTGGACAAAAGTTTTACAAATATTTTGACTTTTTAGTATGTATATATCACACTTTCATATCACCTTAATAAGGCACTGGGGTAATTAGCCGTCTCCTTCCGTTGAAATTAGAAAAGGTCCAGGGAGTAATTATTTCAATAAATAAACTTGACTAACTGGCGTATAACGACGGGTTTCTCTGAATACAAAATAAAATACAAGAGTCCCATACGTAAATGCGTTTAGCCTAATTTGGATGAACCTGACTTTGTTTGCACGAATCAGAATCAAATACAATCAGGTTTAGCTATTTAAGGTGAAGAGAAACCCTCCTCAAATCAGTCGATTCGAATAAGAAACTTTTTTGTAAAGGTATCGGATCGAACTGTCTGAAACTTTGATACGTGACTCCTAGGAATTATCTTAACATCTTCAAAATTTGAATTTTTAAAAAAAGTTTTTAAGTTAGCCCAGACCAGAAGCAAAATGGCGTCGAGTTCTCATATTTCGATCAATATACAATTATTGAAGGCTTTAATATGAAAAACGAAAGTATCAGGACAATTGTACGGCAATTTAGAACACTCTGGTAATCGATAAACTCTCATTTGAACGGGATAAAGGCAAAAAGTGTGTCTTATACGCTGTTATGCTAATATGAGGTCTCGGAGTGAAAATTTAGTTGAATTACTATTTATGGTAACCATTGATATAACTCGACTCTAAAGTTAGGGGTAGATCTCGACGACCAAGCGAGGCTCAAATGAGTAAGGTAGTTTAGAGTAATAAGGGGGTCATCTCGTGTGAATGCTCTTTCTTTTAGCGTTTTTCAGGAATTTTTTTGGCGAACTAAGTAAACATACAACTGCGAACTTTTTACCACATATTTATCCGTATTTTGAGCACACTTTACAATTTTTTCAGCCCGAAATCATCGCTCATTGCTGAAGTACACGGCAATTTAGCCCCTCATTTGAAAAAAAAGGTGTTTTGCGGTTGCCACGATTGCGGGCGTTTTGCTTATCTGAAACAAAAAAATCAAACGGCATTTTAATCTGTAAAGTATGAACTAGTTTTTAAACGAGGATTATTATAAAATATTGAAAGGTGAACTTTTGGCATCTTCTTGAACATTTTGTCGTGAATTTTCGTGTTTTTTCACGACTTCTTCAACGTGAAAACAAAAAACGGCTCGATGAATCAGAATTATCCTAGTTTGCAAACTGTCTAAATGTGTACTGAATAAGTCATTAAAATTTCAAAGGAATTCATTCGATAGATTTCGAGATATCGTGTGTACCGATTTGAAAAATGTAGTTTTGAGAAAAACGCGTTTAAAGGTTCAAATACGATTATCACCAATAAAATTTCGACTCACCCTTAATCTGCTATGCGTGGTCCATAAAGTGAACCTTCAGTTTCCTCAAAAAATTCTTGCAAATCCGATTGTTGCTCCCTGGCATCGGTTCTCGCTCTTTTAGCAAAGTCGCTCGTGCGTCTTACGGAGCGGCAGATACGCGCTTCATTACGGCGATCGGCGTAAGCTTGAGTTACGTGGCCAATTTGGCAACCCATTGTAACCAAAACATTCAAAACGCCATTAACCGTTTGAGTCCCAAGCAGCCCGATCGCGCTGTTCAGATTTTATGTCGAGAAAACTCAACACATTTCGAGCGTTGTGGACAACTAGCGGTGCGTCACCGATTGTCGAAGTCACGCGCTCAGATTTACTCACCCAAGTACATCTCCTTCTTTTAATGTATATAATACATTTTACAATTCAAGAAACGCTATCGCGCCGATTAGGATTCATCGACATAAAATAAACGAAGCGCTATCGCGCCGCTTGGGATTTATCGACATAAAATAAAGGAAGCGCTATCGCGCTGCTTGGGTCTTCTCGTCCTCATTTAGAGAAAGCGCGATTGCGCTGTTCGGGATTCTTCGACAGGGTTTTTTCAATACTCCCTGGGACTCAAACGGTTAAATCCTTCATTGAAGATAATAACGGCCAGAAGAGTTGCTATTTCAACGATCTTTGTGCCAGAATGCAGGTGTTTAGGAGCTTTCGCTCCTCTGGACTTTCGTCCAGATCAATGAATTCAATGATTCATTGTTATTTTGTGTATGTGCTCCTAAACATCTGACCAGCGGTTCATCTCGTGATAAATCTTCATAGACTGGTTTGATGACTTCTTGAACTTGCTCAGTCAGAGGTGGCTTATCGTGGTGGAAATTGGTGAGTTCTCCTCTGGCTTCAGCCTTGCGCCATTTGCCCCAGCTATCTTCGCCTACTGGACAATTTTGATGTTGAGGATTTGCGTCTGTAGAACATTTGTGGTACAAAGTTGCCCAAATTTCTTCCTTCATTTCTTCTATTGAGTTTGCGTGTCCGTGAATGGCTAAACCGTAAAATTTAGTGAGCTCGTTAATGAGCTTATCGGTAAGTTTTCCAGCTCCTTTTCCACCAATTCCTTAATTATTTTTCTTAGCATTCCGGAGTCGCGTTCCCATTCTCTTCTCGACATGTCCTACACATATTTCACTACTAAATGATTTTTTGAAGGGCCCAGGTAAGAAACCGAAACGCATGAGACGGAGTCCGATGCTCCACCTGGCCTGTTCAACGTTGTAACTTCCGAACGACTTCGAATATCGGAGAATCACTTTACCCACATATTCTACACTATATTTGGATGCAATTCATGCAAAACAAAAAATTCGATTTTTTGAATCGATCACACGGGATGACCCCCATAAGTCCCACCATAACTTGAAAGGCTTGTCAAAACTAAAATAGAAAGTATTTTGGGAAGGGAAAATGAGCAGAGGGTACACGAACAATGTTTATTTCAGGTAAAAACTATAACAATAAAATATAATTCGAAACAAATACGTAATTTAAAAAAAGCAGAATGGTGCTCCTGGGCTTTGATACCTAAACGTGTAAGTAATAAGTCTCATGGACATAGATTGGAGGATGCACATTAATTTGTACAGTTAGGGCAAGTTATGTCATCAAGGTCCTCGATTGTTGTCTTTAGGTATTCTTCGTAAAACCATTTTTTGCCCAGTGCACGTTGCTGCATATCGCCAACCCTATTTTCTTGGTAAAGGCTGTGACCCCAGTTCTTGGTCTTCTTTGAGGTGCAGGTTTCGTTCTTCTTAAGGTATTTCGCTCAATTTTTGTTGCGACGTTGTATTTACTGCAACTAGTCATAGTTTCATGTTCTTTTTGAGAAAGATCTTTGGTTGCGCTATGTTGCCCTACGCGGGCCTCATTCTCCGTTTGGGGCAATTTACATTTCCAAGTTATAATTTCCAAAACAACAAACCTTTTCAACAAAACTAATACAACAGTATGTAGGGAAAAGTATAAGGCACTACGTGTTTGCGAGACAGAGCAGGACTTCACAAAACTTTGTGACAAACAGCTTGAACGCTGCAACCAAATTTTATAAAATTCACTCGGAAATATTTCTTATTAATCTCAGTTTACCATGGCCTCGTCCACAGCCCCGGCAATACACCCAATGAAGTCTTCTTTGTCCTGCTAACTGGTAGAAGGAGCCATAAACATTGCACTTTTGCTATATGGTAAAAAATAAACATGGGCCTTATTACCAAAAGTTATCTTATTTGAAAGTTTGGGTTTTCATGGCTTAACCGAGTCTCGATCTAATCCTGGTTTCGATCCAAACCCTACACAATTGGACACGTATATTTCAGGTTCAAGATCGATTTCATTAACATCTTCCTATCTTATATTCTGGCATCATACTTCAAACCTTCAAGTGCGTTCACGAGACTTACGTGAGGTAAAAACTATGGACTCGGACTTATATGTCGTAGCCATATTGTAAAATCCGGCATTTTGTAAAACGCCTTGCCGTTCTGTAAAGCACGGCCAGAAGGTCAAATCTTCGTTCACTTGGCTTTATTTTACGATCCGACTAGTCATTTTATAAAGCGACCAGATGTTTCATAAAACTACCAGCGAAACGCCCCAACAATGTCAAATTCATTAAATTACCGTCTGTTTTACTTTCCGGCTAAATCCTTTCAATCATTTTATCATTATTTTAATCACTAAATTTTAATAAAAAATGGCTTCGCGGAAGGAATTTGTTAATTTATTCGCGTAATCTACGGATTATACATAAATAGAACAAATATATAGATGAACATATGCTTTATTCTATGTAAGTAGGTAGGTTTTGTTAGATTAGATGGGGTTAGGTTATAGAAAAAATACGCTTATCATAAAATCAAGAAACGATTCAGTCGGAATGTAAAACAGGCGGTAATTTAATAAATTTGACAATGTGGCGGCGTGTTGTCGGTCGTTTCATAAAACACCTAGTCGTTTTATAAAATGATTGGCTAGATTATAAAATAAAGCTAAGTGAACGAAGATCTTACCATCTGGCCGCGTTTTATAAAATGACTAGGCGTTTTACAAAAAGCCAGAATTTACAATCTGGCTACGACATGTATCAAATGACGTTCTTACATCGGGAAAGCCGAGCAAGAGTTCTCAGTTGGAATCCACGTTCGCAATTGAATCCCTCCGTGTCCCAAGATCTCAGGGGTTGTGTATTATTTAATCGGCGGGTTCCGTGGAAACCCGGGAAAATAAACGAGGAATTGGGGCCGCCGTGAAAATTGCCCGGTGCAGATTAGCGCCAATCCGCCAAGTCCAGCGCGGAGCTATCCAGCTTCCTAGCATTTTATAATGGTGTTACGGCAACAACACATTCTTGGACGTAGGACTGATAATACCTGGAGGCTTTCTCGTTACCGGAGGCGAATGACTTTAAAAGTAGGTAGCCATTGCGGTGGTAGCCAATTACATCAAGCAACTGGAGCCTATATAGAAGTCCCGCCGACTCGGGCTGCAGATTTCTTCAAACAAACCTGACCTGTCGCACATCCACTGCATTCCACGAGACCAAGAGATGAAACTGAGAGTGAGTGAGTTTGGTTCTTCGCCCAGGAAACCCGAGTGTTCGGCTCTACCTAAATCCCCTAGGGGTTTCTGAATGTCCACCGGGACTTCCCCGGTCCCTGGTGGTTGGTGCTCGTCGTCGCGAAGTGCCCCGTGACGGTTCTTCTCCCGCGACTTCTGTGCTCCTCCAGGTCGCATGTGATGTGAACACCCTTTGTCCAAATTCGATTCTTTGACTAGAAAACGGGATGTCGATGAAGGGACTGATTATTATTCCGGAAGTTTGATAAGAGTCGCTCCTTTTGCTCGAGTAAAGTTTTAGCCCTGTTTTGAATCTGAATTACCTAAGTAAGATCTCTTTTGGCCTAGAAGTAGGAAAAAGTGAAATATTCACCACTTCTAAGATCAGAAGTCTAGACCTTAATTGTATAGAAATTACCCTTCTTGACATCCCCTCGAAACCCATGTAAGGCTTATAATCAGAGGTTCTTGAACGGACCAAAATTTCGCCCCGGGAGGTGATCGATAAGCTCCCCATTGATTTCATATTTCATAGTAATACTCCGTTTTATGGAACTATTGATTTGACAAGATTCCCGGGAGTAATACTTTGTTTCTTCCTAGGTACTGATTTTCGCTCTGGTGTCAACGTGTCTGGCACAGGATGACCAGGAACGAGCACCTAGGGCTCCACAGGGGTACATTAAGTACAGCGACCCGAACGGTCAGTATTTACTTGGTTGATCCGTATCGCACGAGTCGAAATTATCGTCCTCGGTGGGATCTCTAGATTCTCTATTCTTTTAATCGTACTGTTTATTGACCTATTAAGCATGATGTAATACATTAAGGTGATACGAAAGTGGCATCTAGCGGGTGATATTATCCTTTACAGAGTACAAATTATTCTAGTCCAATTATGTTGACAGATTAATATAATACAAAATGACAAATAATCGACGATGAAAAGCTGAAGTTTCCAGATTTAGGAGGAGACGTGTAAAAAATTACCAGCTCAAAACGTAACAAATAGCCCCGGTCTCCTCCCTCGAGGTTCCTTGTACATAGGTACCTGGAAAGTTTTTTAAAACGATGAATCATGTTTCAGGTCTGAAGGTCGACTGGAAGTTGTACACGCCTTACTCCCAATGGCAAGCCCAGCTGGACGACACCCAACGGACCCAGAGGGCAGAGGCCCCAGCACCCGAGCCAGCCCAGGCAGCCCAGCCTCGGTACCAGCACCAGCAGGCTTCGGTCCAGTCTCCACTTGCCCAACAAAAACAAGCTGGAGAGGCTCCGGCCAAGCCCTACAAGGCGATCCCCATGCAGATCAAGCAGCTGATCCTGCAGGCTTACGAGCCGGAGGAGACCTACGCGAATCCTCAAGCCTTCTTCTACCAGCCGAGGACCGAGTACGACCAGCAACCGGCTCAACAACAAAAGAGTGTTCAAGATCCATACCAAGCCCAGGCCCCGTATCAGGCACCCGTTTCCCAAACTCCTTACCAGGCGCACGATTCCGACGAAACCGCGGAATACAAAGCGAGATCCGCTGGTCAAATCGACGAGAAGGAGGTCAAGGAAGATCGCAGCGAAAAGCCCTACGTCTCGCTCTCCGAGTCCATGCCCGTGCAGCCTGCTCCTCAGCTCCAGCTGGACAAGAACATGCCAACTGGTCTGCAGCAACTGCTCCAGTACCAGGCCCAGCTGCCCTATAACGTGATCGCCAATCACATCGTGTATCGGCCAAAGGACCTCTTCATTCCGAAGCCAATCGTTGCGGAAGAGAAGAAGTCTAACAAGTACAACAGCAAGGTCTACGTCCTGAAGAGTGGACAAGATCAGAACGAGGAAGCCTCCAGCAAGCCCGATCAGGAAAATCGAGGCTAGATGTTCGCTGTGGGCTGGACATCTATGAGTGGTGCTCTTGAATACTTCAAGATCATTGAATACAATCAAGAATCCTTCGGCATGAACGTTGTACGTTTTGTGACGAACGACCCGTGCACGCGCGGAACGTTTGGGCGAGCTGGTGCGTGATCTTCGTTTAAGTTAGGTGGGCTATTTGTAGAGTTTTTGAACCGAATAAATTATTTTCATTTATTATAACGCCAAGGACTTCGATCTTTCCGATCGGATGGATCGGGAAGGTGTAAAGCAGTTGACGGAGAATTTTGTTCCTAAGATTTTCGAGATCTTCGTTGATAGACGATCTAATTGAGAGGATCCCTAGTGAAACTTCAGTTTTCAAGATTTACATAAATGTCATTCGTTCGTTCTCTGAAAATGGTACGACTGACTAGTCGTTACAATGTTCACTTGACCTGATCCCAAATTCGTTAGGTTGGCTAAAAACTCTTGCAGCGCTAACGTCACAATTTTGGTTAGATAAACATTCTTTCTTGCTAATCCAATACTATACAATATTTCTTCACGAAAAATTATTCAACGTCCTCCCTGACGATTTTCTCTTTTCTTCGTTCGTAACACTTTTAATACTAGGAGATCCGTATGACCGTAATTATTCCTGGCAGCATTTCGCCCGAAGTTTCTGAAAAGGATATATCTACACGGATACCAGGCCGCAAGAGTATTACGCACAGCTCTCTGCAGACTATCCTTGACACCATGTAAAATAAGAACCGATAAGTCGACTTTCCAGGAAACCAGCGTACATGGATCCCGTTTCCTAACTTTTTACCGTCGGATTTTGTTGCGTCAGGTGTATGATTCCCTTCAGCGTGCACAAGAAGCTCAGCAGGCCAGCCCGAGAGAGGAAACGAATGGGCAGGAAATTTCCGTGCGAATGTCGGGAGGTTTATTCAAACGGGGTGTTCCCCTCCCCTTTCTGCTATGATTTTATTTGATTTCACTATAGACCGGAGGATAGAATTTCTCCGGATCAGGAAGACGGAGCCGAGCGATCCACTTTCGTGGCCTTCACGCTCCGCGGCTCGTTGCATACGAACTGCACCCATACCTGCATGGATTGCTCCGATACCTCGGAAAACTTTCCATTTCTGCCGGTCGGATCTTGCTTCCCTATCTTTTTGAGATTCTCGCTTCCTATCGGCTTTGGCACGTCCATTCGCCCCGGTGAAAGGATCCGCAGTCGCAAATCGAAGAGCCCGGAATACTCGAATTGCCCCATCCCGTGGTGCATTCCTTCCGCATCGTAAAGGCCCAGCTAGAATTTCGCAAACCTCGTGGGAAACGGGCCAGAAAGAGTTTTCTCGGTTTCGTCAAATTATATTATGTTTAAATTCAAATCATTATAATTTAAATTTAATGCGCTGGATTTTCTTAACGCGAAATCGTGGCTTTCGTTGAGTACATACGTAGAGATAAGTCGACAAGGTACTCGATATCGTCACTTCGATACCATGTACATTTGACGTCGATACTCTCGGCCTCGGTACTTACTTAGTATCGATGAAAGGTACTCGTATCGAATCAAATGGAGTGGGCATCATAAAGAAGTATCAATGTTCCATTCATTCTTCCGTTGTGCCTCCTCGAGCATTAAACCGATCGGAAAAAAAACTGTATTTTCATTACGTTCAACGAAATGTATATACGAGGCATACTCCTCCGGTATTATTTAACTCACGCCTTCTACGGGTCATAGGTTGGGTCTGTATGCTTATGTATTGTATATTTTGATTCGACACTTTCTTTTTTCTCGATTCGATTTTTTATCGATTCTTTAAGGTGAAGTGAAACCCCCCTCAAATCAGTCGATCCGAATACAACACTTTTTGTTAAGGGTATTGGATAGAACTGTCAGAAACATTGACGCATGATACGTGAGCACCTAGAAATTATCCTGACACTTTCAACATTTGGATTTTTTAAAAAAAAATGTTGAACTTAGCCCAGACCAGAAGCAAAATGGCGTCGAGCTCTCATATTTCGATTAATATCCAATTATTGAAGGCTCTAATATGAGAAACGGAAGTGTCAGGACAACTGTACGAGAATTTAGAACACTATGGTAATCGAGAAACCTGCATTTGAACGGGCTAAAGGCAAAGAGATATCTTATGCGCTTCTATGCTAAAACGATGGCAATACAAAGTCTCGGAGTGAAAATTTAATTGACCCGGAAATCACAGATGACACAAGGGGTCCCTTTACAGTCAATTAGGGCCTCAGAAACCAAAATCCAAGGGATTTCTGGAATTTTACTTCGATTTCGTTATAATTATAGCACGAAAACGACAGATGGAGCATGACATTTAGTACAGTTATCAATATAAATCCACACGACTGTCAATATAAAAACGAACGTCGGCAACATAGGTATTTAGAAAAACCTATTTTACCGACGTCGATCGAGTTCCTCGACGTGTTTCATTTCACCTTAATGGTATCGGTTCATCCCTAGATATAGGCGAGTCTTTGCCTTTGGTTTCCCTTCAGTTTTGAACTTTTTACAGAATTTTGGTTAACAACGTGTAATAATGATCCATGCGGATCAAAATGATTTCCTGGAAGCTGTGATTTTTTTTTATCTCTTGAGTCATTGAAGCTCATTCTGGTTCTTGAAATTTTCTTGCCTAGACAGCCAACTGGGTAAGTATTACGTGCGCAGGAGCGGATGGCGGTGGAGCCTTGTCAGGGCTCGTCTCGTAAAAGAGGTACAAGTCGCTGGACCACGTAGAGCGAGAAGGTAAAACGAAATGGAGGTGGTTCCACGAGTCACATCCCCTCGCTGGAAAGTCCTCGGCCTATAAAGTTGTTCCCAGTGACGCGCGCCCGGCTCAGATACACTTGCACCCTCGAGAACGGATCCTCATGTATCGACCAGTCGACATGTCAAAATTCTACGTGAGTACCAGCTTCCCATTTTCGGCCACTTACTTAATCTGCTTAGTGGGCTGTGTCGCATTGTCTATCAATTTAAAATGTTAAGGTGATACGAAAGGGTCATTCTATGCATCAGAACGTGAAAATATTTATATAACTTTTCGCCAAACTGGATGCACCGAATCATTTGAAACCTTAACGCTTGATTATGGAGAAAGATAAAGGCTAAAGATGAACGCGATGCTCGTGAAATTTCATTTTTCGACAAACATGTTTGTTTATTTAGCCTGGACTAGAACCAAAATTACATTTTCTGGTGAAAAAATGAAATTTCCCGAGCATTGCGTTCTTCCTTGGGGTATCTCGAATCACGCGTTAAAGTTTCAAATTATTCGGTACACTTAATTTGGAGAAAAGTTTTATAAATATTTTCACGTCATGTATATAGAATGACCCTTTCGTATCACCTTAAGTGTCCATTGGACTTGCTTTCCCTACACGGTACAGATTTTTCTCGTATGGTATGTAGATCGAATTTTCGAAATGACTCCAATTGAGGGAATATTGCATATCGTGTGATTAAAATCACGTTGAGAGATTGCAGAAATGAGTAATTATCTGTACGGGGATGTAAAATGTAAATGTCGAGTTAATACGGTGGACGGTGCCGAAGAGTGGTAAAATGCACGTCATAAATATCGAGACGTAAGTTATGACGATTAATGCAAAGTCATGAACTGAAAAGATAACCGAGGGTTTATCTGAAAATACAACTGAATATTCTTTCTTCGGATATAGTTTCATTTTGCTAGATGTGCAGAATAGTGATTTCGGAACATCTAGTCTCAATTCGACGCATCTTTGTCATGTAGCAGTTGTACGTTAACACCATGTGGAATATAATCACTTTGAATTAACCAATCTTGCAACAAATCTATTTTCTAAATTCATGCATTATAATTTACCAAACAATTAACTATGGATTCCGAAATTTACGCCGACCGAAGGACACGGAAGAGAGTAACAACTAATATATCTAACAACATTGTCTCTCAAAACCTAGAAATCTCGAAATCAAGATTTTCCTTCATTTCGCAAGCTAGTCGGTAATTTTGCAAAAATCGAAGTTCTCACCTTTCACCCACACGATGCGGATTGGAATAAAAAAAAACTTACAACGAACGAGTTACTCCACTTTGCGATCTAATTCTCTCCGACATGACTGCTTACACCAAGCTCACATTTGCTGGACATTCAAAGCGATCAAATTTTCCGTTCATGCGTGCACAGTAATAAGTGCAATAGCGAGAGGCCATCGACGGAGCTTAATTTATACTCAACTTTCTCTGTCCAGTTCAGCTCCGATATCAGCTGATATATAGTGGACGTCGGAGCAAAACGGCGAGGGGTAGAGCCATTCCATTGGTATCCAGTAAGATCTCATTGCACGTATCGGTGACTGAGGTCTTACCGTAAATCGTTACGTTAAACGGAGAAGGTTGAGTAGCCTTTTCCGATTACGGGATCGGCTGATTAATCGGCCGATTAAATGGCTACCTAAGCCTGGACGAGCAACTTTCCTTTCTCCTCGAGAGAGAATCGTAACTTGCAGATCCGTCCTCTTACTCGAACGATTTTGCCTTGGCTTTTCCATTTGCATTCGCGTGTAGATAAATAATGCGTCGCTCGGATCGTGTCTGTAGCTCGAGATCGCCATTTTACTCGTTTTTGCCACGATTCGACGGGACGCGAACGCCATTTTCCATTTCTAAACACCCTCGATGCAGGTTCCCTCCTTTCTCTCGTGTACAAATATTTTTCACGACGTTACGTGTAATTGTAAATATTCCCAAAAAATTGGTAACGTCTTTAGGAATGTAGAAGGTATGCGTGTTATTTTTTAGAAAGTGATTGGAAGGAATATAAAATGCCAAAAAATTTGTAGTTAACGTTCGTGCCTCCACTTTGGCTAGCACTTCTTGGTCTAATTCGTTCTTTTACATCGCCATTTCTCGGTACGCGGTGCAGGCCGTTTCGGCTGAGGGTATTAAGCCGACTGCAATCTAAATGGCACTATTTCGTTTAATTCTCCTTTCCCTCCTGAAAATGCTGTCTTACGGTCTTTCGCTTCTTCTGATTGGTCCCATTGCGAGCGTTCAGCGGAAATCGCTTCCGTTGGAATTTGCTGGACCTCTGAAAGGAAAATACGATTTGCCCTGGTTACCCTACTTTTTCTATTGAACATTTTGGTTTTTTTAATCCCTCTTTGTACCGAGTACCCCCGAAAGCCTGCTTCTACATTAAAATGCGTGTACAAAATTGTTAACGAGAAAATTATTTGAATATTTAAAGACCTCCGTTGGCTTTTCTAGTCTTACGGGTTACGTGCAGGTGGACAATAATATAGAAAAAGTATATAAAAAATATTAAATACTAAGGTATAATTTATAATATTTACAGATGCTCCTTCTGGGGTCTCTCCCTTTCTGCCTGGCCCAATTCTCTATCCAGGGGCCAAGTGACGGGAATCGCGTCGCTCAGGGACTGAAATATAGCCAAGAGAAGGGAATCGAGTACGACCAGAGAGGTAAAAAGCTAAGAAGACAAACGAGCGCTCTTAAAGTGCGGCCTAAGCGAGAAAAGGTGCAAAACTCTGAAACCTCGGAGCGATACGCCGACGCCGGCCGATAGTAATTGTCCATTTATCCTAGGCGTACTCACAATTAGGCCAGTTTTATGATCAACCGTTAAATCTATTTATACCGCCATTCATTTTTGCGGCATGTTAGGAGTCTAGGATTAAACTTACGACTGTTTCCCAGCGGGATTTTTTCTCACGGGACTCGTCTGCGAGAGTGGAGTACAACCACCTTTTACGGTTACACGTTTCACATAAAAGTTTTACGCAAGAGTACACGTTCTGCTCTTTGTGTGTTTTACATTTTAATTTGTAATTTCATTATGTCGCGTCGTTTATGTAATACCGAGTATTAGATGAACTTGCAAGGGATTCAACTTTTCATCTTGTTTTTCCATCATGCTTTTTTATCGACAGATTTTTAGCATAGTTTTTTTGACATAGAATCCGTCTTTTCCGAAGGCACATGAGGGGCACGACGAAAATCTATCACTCGCATCCTCACTGATTATCGCTCGCCTAATTGCGCTGCAGTAATGTAAAAAAAAACGTTCAAAATCGACAAAATGGCGTAATCTTAAATGGTACCTTGATTTTCCATGTAGTCAGCATCATGAACAGTTTATATCTTTTAAAATTCGTGTCGCACTATCAAATATGAATAACAGTTGGAAAATTAACATCTTGTATCTTATTACTTAGAAAAAGAAAACTTTAAAAAATTGAGAAAAGCTTTTTGACGCAGAAACGTCTTTATCGAAGGTATGTACGGGCCCCGCTTTGCCGATGACGGAAACATGTCCCATATACTGATTGATTGCTGCGTGTCCGATTATAGTAAATAATAAAGGCTGGATCAATTGAATGATCAAAAGTGCCCGTCCATGATACAAAAATAATATTCGAAGAATTAAAACTGACAAGATAGCGGTTTTTAAATTTAGCACGATTTTCCACGTGGCCACTTACGAAAGGAATTTTTATCTCAAAATTAGTTATCCGACAATTAAAAATGAATATCTTTCTGAAGGCATTTACATAAAAACTGTGTACAAAGTCTACAACCGCTCGGCAAAGTAGAAACGCATGTATAAGTATTAAAGCGTTCCACGCCATATTCGACATAAATTTCGCGGTTTAGAAGAAAATCCCTTTTCTCTTTTTATTAAGGAACCAGCGGATCCGGAGGCTTTTCGATCCAAGGAGCCACGGATGGAAACAGCAACTTCCAGATTCAAGGGGCTACCGATGGTCACAGTGATTTTGCGATTCAAGGCGCTTCAGTTGGAGGTGCCGAATACGCGATTCAAGGTGCCACCGATGGTCATAGTCAGTCATCGATTCAAGGTCCCTATGATGCAAATCAGGACAATCAGAGGTCCTTGCAGTACAACGATCCCAGTGGTAAAGCATGTTCCGGAATGAAAATGCAATAATCACTCTTAGGACATACGCATATGTTCAGAGCGAACGTTCTAGTAGAAAGGAATATTCCAGGAGGTTTACGCGATAAGTCCGCGCATTCGTATGAGTCATGTGCTATCGGGAATAATAATTACAAGTATAGCAGCGGCTACACTCGAATCATATGACTTTCACTGACACGTGGAAAGACATTCCGTAGAAAATTTAGGGAAGGAAATAGTTTTTTCTGTGAAATTTGAAAATTAATTTTCGTCCTTTGTATTTAAACGCGAATTAATTGAAGGTGAAACATCTTTCTAATTTTTAGGACTTAGAGTAAATTGGAGGTCATACGCTCACGAACGCCAAGCTCAACAAGCCCAACAAGCCCAACCAGCTGTACATGAGCAGCAATACGTTCCTACACCTCGAGGACGTCATCACCAACGCGCTCACGAACCTCAGCAACAAGCTCCGGCCGCTGCTCAGGGACAGCAATACCAAGTTCAAACACCTCTTCATCCACCCAATTACAGAACGTTCGAGAAGGCACCTGATAGGATCAAGCAACTGCTCCAATTCCAGGCTCAAATTCCGTATATGAACATCATTCCTGAACCATTCAGGTATAAGATATTTCGCAACATTTTATTTCTGTATATCTCTTTTAAACGATGCAGGCTTCAATTAATCATATTGCCGTTAATCGGTAGTTTCAATACATTCATCCGAAATAGCTCCCTTGCCAAGGCTAAAATAAGTAAGAGAAAGAATTTCGGAACCTAGAACAACGTTGAGCAGCAATCCTCAGGAACGAAACCTTCAAATCTGCACTATATCTTGTGAAAGGACGTATTTTTTTGTTTATAAAATGTACCATGAATCTCTTCCACAGATACGATGAAGCTGCCGCATTAAAAGCGCAGCAGGAGCAAGTTCGGGCCTTCATCCAAGGCCAGTACCAAGACGCTCAGACCCAATCAGAAATTATCGTTCAGGACCAGCAACGACATCATCCAACATCCCAACAGCAGCCCAAATCCCGTGGTCGATCCCGCGATAAGCGTCAGGCTCCTCAGTATCAAGGTGGTCAGTATCAGGGTGGTCAGTATCAGGGTGCTCAGCGCCAGGCTCCTCAGCATCAGGTCCCGCAACAGCAGCAGCAGCACCAGCAATACCAGCAACCCGAGTACACCAGAATATCCCAACCGGCACCGGAAGCCCAACCCCAGTACTCGACAAATGTCCCGTCGTCGATTCAGGAATTGCTGAAATTCCAATCGCAGATTCCGTACCACATAATCGCTAATCAGATCGTCTATCAGCCGGACAAACCTTATGTTCCTCAGCCCGTGCAGCACCAGCAACAAGCGGCTTCTGAAGAAGTGCAATACCGACAGGCACAACAGCCACAAACTCATGGTCAAGGCTTTGGACCTTATCAGCCTCCAGTTCGCCCGGTTACTGAGAATCAATACTAAGATGCAGTTGTCCGATTTTGTAATCTTTTATTTATTTACAAAATAAGTTGAGCGAACCGTTCCGACCGATCGGTGATCAGCAACGATCCAATCACAGAATCCAAAACACCAGGAAGAATGTTGGATTTTATAGACAATGTGACAGAACGATATGGTCGGTTGTAACTAAAGTAGAGGAAGGTTCGATCTCGGGAAATTTGAGTTCTTCTTTTTCCTCATTTTTGTATTACGAATGCGTTTTTATTGGAGTTAAGGTGCATGACCGGAGACCAATATTGCTGGGTATATGCCAGCACTCGTCGAAGCCAAATGACTGGGTATGCGATGTCGAAGCGCGTTTGTCGTTGTAAAAGGGAAATTGCGCGGGAATTGCCGTATGTTATATGTGTCAATGGTAATTGTGATGTTGTTTCATCGATCGGCGTGGAGAATGTTATGGGGATGTGAAATGCGGAAACACTTTACGGGAGGGGGGCTACTTTAATGTAGGATGCCAAGACCAGGAACTATCCGAGAACCCTCGTATTCGAACGTGATTTTCATCAATTTCCTGAGTCTTAGAAAATTACGAACTTAACGAAAAATTCTCAATGTCTTCGATTAATTTCTCGATCACACTTTATCCACCAGCTTTCGCAACGGGTCGTAAAGGGAATTCCGCAGAAGCGGAGTCGTTGCATTGCATCCAGTACCACAGACCCGTTTGTTTTGTAGATTTTTACGTGAATGTTGTCGAATAAAACCATTTTCTACGACACCTCGTTCTTCCCCCTCTCTCCCTGAAAAGCGGAATCGATTATCGCGGGGAAAATCCAATTCCAAGGATGGTTAATTTACTGCATCAGCGCCTTCAGGGGATACCCGAATTCTCGGCCCAAATACGTTTCTCGCAACACAGAAAATTCCCAATTAATTACTCCAGGTAGTAATTACGAGCCTGCAGATGTTTTCCAGCGCGATTAGCCTCGATGGGCTCGCTCGAGCGGTTTGGAGCAAAAACTTGGCGCGAATTCGCGCATTGAACTCTCCGGAGTCGACCGCGCCGCGTAATGGCGCCTTAAGCGGAAGTAAGGCTCTCGTGCTGGATTTTCGCAATTTGTGGGATGTTCGTCAGCCACGCGGTTGCATAACGTAATTAAACCAGTCCCCACGTATTTAGAAACCACCTCGCGTATCAACGGTCCCGTATGGAATCGACGAATTAAAATATTAATGTATTCCGCGGGTATGCAGAGCGATCTATGATCGTATACGGAAGGAGTCGGCAAACCCGTAAGAGCACTTCCTGAAGAGTGAGTTTGTCGGTTACGTGATCGTGAACGCGTTAGACGTCCACGGTGAAATTATGCGTGAGCGTATCACGTTTCTAATCCAGACACGCAAACGTTGGCACGTCACTTTTCTCCCATTTTCTCGAGAAGAAGCAGGTTGACATTTGAGCCGCCTCGTTGCCGACTTGCAGGGATTTGCTCTCTCGCTGCGCCCTTAACAAGGGATAATTAATTAATTAAATCGATAATATGTAAATTTTCCTGCATTTTACATTTCTTCGAAATGCTTCCTACTTTCGAATGACAAGGCGGAAAGGATTTAACCAATTAATTGTTTCACGGGCCGGGAAGAAAATCGTTGGCTCGGAGATTAGGTTGTTGAGAAAAAGCACAATTCTCACGGTTAGCAGCGAGACATTATTTTAAAAGCAATGCCGCGGGGTTCCGGGTCGTTGACCATGCAGTCGCCATTGCGTTCTCCATATCGAGATCGTGATCGAGGAGCGAGAGAATGTGTGACTTTTCTCGAAATTGCGTCAATGTTCACTTATTCAAGAGACTAGCCGTATTTGTGTGTGGATATTGGTCGCTGATACCGAAAAGAGCTGGTGACAATTGCCGGTCTATTCGAAGCTGCCCAATATAATCCTAGAAATCGGTTAACCAATTTGTGCAAGGAAACGTCACAATATGTCCAACGTAATCAATTTTAAATATATGTTAAGTGACTGGTGTTCCTTGCTATTAATCGTATCTCTAAAGAAACCTGTCATTTTTGTAAGATTCATCATAGGCCCCTCCCTTCACGAACTACACGATTTTCCTTAGATCCAGGAACTCGTAATCTTAGAGGCGCGTGCCCCTCTTAGACCAATGTCTACATATCAGAGTCGTTCCAAAAAATTCGCTTTGCCAGGGACTGCCTAACATAACCTACATATCAGCGAATTAATGCATTTTTCCAAGGAAACCGTAACGACATCTCCAACGCAATCGATTTTAAACGTGCCTTAAGGCGAAGTGAAACCCCCCGAGAAAATCAGTCGATTCGAATACAACACTTTCTTTAAGGGTATTGGATAGAACTATCCGAAACTTTTACACATGACTCGTGAGCACCTAGGAATAATCCTGACACTTTCAAAATTTGGATTTTTTTTTTAATTTTTTGAACTTAGCCCAGACCAGAAGCAAAATTAGCGCTGATATCTCATATTTCGATTGATATCCAGCTATTGAAGACTCCAATATGAGAAACGAAAGGGTCAGGACATGTGTACAACAATTTAGAACACTCTGGTAATCGATAAACTCGCAGTTAAACGGGGTAAAGACAAAAAAAGTGTCTTATACGCTTCTATGCTAAAATGATGGCAATACGAGGTCTTAGAGTGAAAATTTAAATGACGCGAAAATCACAGATGACGCAAGGGGACCCTCTGGAGTCAATTTGAGCCTCAGAAAGCATAAATCCAGGGGATTTCTGGAATTTTACATCGATTCCTTTATAACTATTGCACGGAAACGACAGATGGAGTATGCCATTTAGTACAATACTCAATATAGTTCGACACGGCTGTCACTATGAAAACGAACGTCGGCAACGTAGGTATTTAGAAAGACCTGTTTCAAGTTGCGTCAAGTTCCTCGACGTGTTTCATTTCACCTTAAGTAACTCGGACTAATCGTTATAAATTCCACGTCTAGAGAACTTTTTCAGCGTATTTCAGCGAGGGCCATCGTAGGGCCCCCCGCGAACCAAGCGACGTTCCCCCAGATCTGGGAGCCTGGAATCCCAGAGGCGTGTGCCTCTCCCAGGACCGGTCTCTCCCAGGTCCCAGCAGGCTCTCCGATCGCTTCCTGTCCCCCGATCAGGCCGTGGTTACGTGATCGAGCCCGATGTGGCCGCTCTTCGGAGTAAAAATGGCCGCTGGAGGCGAACCATGAAGGAGGTGGCCGCCTGCCCTGGAAACCAGCTCGCCCATATAGAAGTGCGTCAGGACGCGGGCGCCAGTTTTCTCAGGCACCTCCCGAAATCGCCATTCGCCGGACGCAGTCGCCATGAGGTCTCCCGTAAGTGTAGCCCGGTGGGCCGAATTTTCGGGGAGAAAACGGAGAAGGGCCCGTTTTCCGCGGCGGGCCTCGAGGGGTTTGGCGAAAGTAGAGTTTTAACGCCCAGTGTTAACGTTTCGCCGCTCGCGCCTGCCGGGGCTCTGTTTTGCCGTTGTCGTTAACGTGATTACCTGAATTACCGGGCCCGATGTGTCTGCCGCTCGTAAAACGCGCCGATTCCTTCCCGGAACGGAGAGTTTATCCCCGGACGGACTAATCGACGATTTGCTCGGCGGAAGTACGCGTTTTCCTCGCTTCCTTTTATTTCTTCATCGGTTCGTTACTCCACCGCTTCGTTACCGAGCTTACTTATCCGCAGGGTCTCCGCGCCGTGTCATTACCGTATGGTTATCGCCGTCTGTCCCGCCGTCTGGCCCAATTGACACGCGGTCTCCCGGATTAAGGCACTGCTCTTATTAATGTACCTGAAATATGTGTCAATCATGAGTCATTCGAGATACGCGTGTTTAATGTCGCGTTAGAGATTCCAACGGAAATCGAGAAGTTATTTCACTCCCGCTGGAATTCTTTTCGTTTTATCCTGCGTTTAAAACTTGTCTCGGATTAACGTCACATAAGGATCGGGGAATCTATCGAAATAACTGTGCGCGTACTTTTTCTTTCAATGTGGTTATTTAATATCATTTTTTTATATAGCGTCGATGCTCGTAACGTTGGTGAAGGTATTCCCACGAGTCAACCATAGGTCGAACCGATTTACTCTACAAAATGAAAGTTGGAAAAATTGAGAAATATGAAGAGTTAAACATTGATCGAGTGCTTTGGCATTAACATTTTTAAAATCTAAAATTGGAGTTTATCTCTTTGACTTGTGAACGATTCGTATACTGGTTTCTTTACTTTTTTAATACTTTTACAAGGTATTGGATAAACTAATATCTAAACAACGTATTTCTAAAATTTGTCAATAGTACTCATAAATTAATTATAAATCCAGAGACAGGGGGAAATGACGAGTATTCTGTCTGGAACATAATTTCTTAAAAGCTACTTCCATGTGGCGCCAAAGTACCACGAATTCTCACAAAACTCCCGTTCCCTTCACTTCCACTCCGACGGGTGTAATTACATGTACCCAATCATTTTCCTTGACGTTGCAGATTTTTATACTCCTGATATGCGCAAGCCAGATACTGTTCTCTTCCGGCGATGGTAAGTAAATCCCAGGAACTATTAATTACGTTAATGAGAGGTGCGACTTATGGAACGTGATTATCAAACATTCTCCCATATTTATGATCTTGACGTTTAATCATCGACCCATTAGCTGTTCTTTCAAGCATTCAAAAGGTATCGAATTCATCCCATTCTCAGAAATTGTCGGATTAGATTTGGTACTTCATCAGTGGCACTACATAAAAACAATAGATTTTTAGCGTTGATTTCGCTTTGCTCGGCCAGCGTTTAGAAATTAAAAATTAGTAAAATTAGTTAGAGAATGCAAAATATGTGAAAGCAGTTTAAAAATGCACAATGTATAAAATTAATTAAGAAAATGCAAAATATGTGAAACTTATGGGTGAACTTAGTTTATTAAACATTACAGTTTATTTAAGGTCTAAGGTAGAACTTCAATTATATGGATGCTAATCTTCTTTATAATATCTTAAAACTCATTTAGAAGACTTTGAATTCTAAGTACGATCAAAATTTTCACTCCGAAAATGCAAACGAAATTTCTCGTTTATTATAGGGAGATTAACTAGGCGTTAACAGTTTTGTGACATTTCCTCGAAAATGACGGAATGGACGAAACAATATTTCTCGACCGGACCACTTGCAATTTGTGAGTTCCAATCGGCGATTTCAACGACATATTATATTCACCTACGTAAACAAAAAAGTGTTGCAAAGTTGTTTTTGGGGGTCAACCTTGGAGGTGATTTTCATCACGTTTATGTCTCTTATTTTTCGATGCCTACAAAATCGGTGAGGTACACCTGGGATACGTTCCTTGTTTGTAGATTTCCGAATTTAGAGAGCACATGCAAACAAAAGTTTTCACCTTATGCAGCGTGTAACAGAATTTGTGACCGCTGTTTACATATCGCTATCTTTGTTGAAAATGGAACCAGAAAGTCTAATACTATTTTCTTCCACGGTGCATGGTTTGCTTGTAATAATTAATCAAGGAATAGTCAATCATGTACGTCAATTAGCTGAACCCGAATAGAAGAGCACGCTGGAGTGTCTTGTTCCTAGACTGCAGACAGCAGAGCGCACCTGATACGTGTTCGGCTAATTAGCGCGTTTAGTTGATTATTTTCCACTTAATTATTATAGGTAGACTGTGCACTGTAGGAAAAAAAAATTGTACAGGACAGGTTGACCCTATCTTCTACGAGGATAGCGATATGTAAAACGTGGACACGAATTCTGATACACCCTGTAAATATAGGAGATAGAAGATGAAAAAGAAGCTACGTGATATAAATAACGACATTAACAGCTTTGTCTCAACCTTAAACCCAGATCTCTACCGGGAAGCAAGAGAAGCTCAGCAACACGGGCAGCAGATCAACTACAGACCATATTCCCAAGCCCCAGCACAGATCAAACAGTTGTTACAATCTCAGCTTGCTCGCGAACCAATAGTGCACCTCCCAGCTCAGCCCCCTCCTCAGCTCGCACCTTCAAAGGGCGCAGGTGCACCTCAGTATCAGACGCAGGCCCAGGTCTCCCAGTACAAGCCTCAGGTGGAATACGCCTCGGCTCCTCAGCAACCTGCCTACGGTCCGCAGCAGCCAGCACCTGCCCAATATACGCCCCAATATCGACCCGCTTCCCAGCCCGCTTACCAGCAATCCAGCAACGCTGGTCAACCCTCTCAGCCCAATTACAAGGCCCTGTACCGACCCGTATCTGCACCTCAGGCTGCTCCTCAGTCGCAGCCTCAGTACTCCAGCAAGCTGCCGCCGCAGCTGCAGCAACTCCTGCAGTTCCAATCGGAGCTCTCTCATCCGGCCCAGCAGGTGCCTCAGCAGGCGTCTCAGCAACCTGGTGGCCAGTCCAAGATCTATCAACCGAATCAGCAGCGCCTTTACTAATCGCACGGGATCTAATGTCTTAAACATTTAGGTTTAACATGTTAGTTTTTGTCATCTGATTACTCTCAGCAAACGTCCGACAGTGAAGCATCTGTCAATCAAGTTGCTGACACCTTTACTAGCTGGGCCGAGTATTTGTCAACTTTTGGCGAATTGCTGAATGTAGACAATCCAACAACTCAATCAAAGTCACGTTTATTAACTGGATAAATCCTTAACATTTAAATGTTTCTTTACGTTTTGTGTTCTTAAGGCGTCAGTAGATGTCGCCCAATGACGACGAAACGTTGAGAACATTTGGTGGATGTCGTAGGATTGAGGGAGTTCTGAAATGAGGCGATGGAAGCTGAAGTAATCTCTCATTTAGTCAGATCATTGGACGGTCATGGTGTCATCGATTCGTTTAGATCATTTGACGTTTAATAATGGAAGTTTCTGATGGTTAAAGCCCATCAGAGCAGACCTTAATCAAGATCATTCAGCGCGAATTCTTGTAAGCAGGGATGTTAATAAACGTCATCGTCATTCTTCATGTTTCCTTAACGTATCGATTGCTATCATTCGAGGTACTATTTCACCGGTCATAGAGGTTCTTCAGAAATTTACGTAATTTAGAAGTTCATTAGTTATCATTAGTTATCATGGTCACATTTTACCACAAAGCATTCTTTCTGCAATAAATGATCCGATATTTATAGAATGCATTTCTTATGATTATCTCCTGGTTTATTTTAGATCGAACGATTTACCACCGACTGAAATGAAAACCAAGAAATGATTACAGGGAAATATCTCAGCCCCAAAAACCACCCTTCCCAGAGCACTCAAAACCCCTCTCGACGGCATCCCCCAGCAACAGTAAATCAGATAAATCGGCATGATCTCCCTCTCTCCCTTGAACTTGAAGGGGAGTATCCAAGAGAAACGGCGATGGGGCGAATATTTGCTAATCATCATCCACAAGATACAATCGCGATACCGAGTGACGCGTGCTAATGGAGGGATTTAAAGGGCCTTCATCTACCTCTTCGAGTCAACCTCCTCTGACCCTACAACTCTCTATCATATTTCAACCACTCGTCAACCTTCATCCCCTCCCATGAATTCCCAAAAGAATAATCAGGTCTCTCTACCAACATTCTTCCATTCCTTCCGACTGAAAAATTCCTCAAATTATAAAATTTGCTCGATGGTCCGCTTCGTGGTAATTTTGGTATCCGAGTCGAAATTATCGATATCAGTTGAATCTCTAAATCCTTTAGATCATTCAATTTGCCTATAGAAATTTTAGCGTTACCGCTTAGTTCACTAAAATCTTCAGAGTTAACTTTTCTCATTAGAACCTCAAAGTCCATAGAATGTTTCAATTAAATTGAAGTTTGGAAAAAACTTATTATTAGAATAAAACGGTTATTTCATTTTATGCAAGTTAGTCCTGATAATATTCAAACTACTTGTCATTATAGAAAACGGAGTAAGGCTATTTGGAAACCTATTACAAATATTCCATTATTGCATTCATAAAATGTAGAATCTTAAAAAGGTAAAATGTAATATTACTTTAATTAATAGTTTATATTTCTATAGTCAGGAATGAAAACGGACTCAATTAGGTATTTGAAAGTTGAGGTTTCCAATGTTTAATTGCGCCTCGATTTACTGACCTTAAGGTGATACAAAAGGGTCATTATATTGACAGGGGTGTCGAATTATATTGAGTATTGTACTAAATGGCATACTCCACCTGTCGTGTTCGTAATTATAAACAAAATACATAGTAATTATAAACAAATCGAAGTAAGATTCCAGAAATCCTGAGAATTCATGATTTCTAAGGCTCTAATTGATTGCAAAGTGACCCCCTGCGCCATCTGTGATTTCCGTGTCAACGAAATTTTGCCTTCGAGACTTCGTATTACCATCGTGTCAGCATAGCAGCGCTTAAGACACTTTTTTGCCCCTATTCCGTTCAAATACGAGGTTCTCGATTCCCAGAGTGTTCTGAATTGTCGTACAATTGTCCTGATTTCGTTTCTCATATTAGAACCTTCAATAATTGTACATTGATCGAAATATGAGAACTCGACGCCATGTTGATTCTGGTCTGGGCTAAGGTACAAATTATTTTTAAAAAATCCAAATTTTAATAGTATCAGGATACCTAGGTGCTTACGAGCCATGTATCAAAGTTTCGGACAGTTCGATCCAATCCCCGAAAAAAATGTCTCATTCGAATCGACTGATTCGAGGGGGACTTCACCTTAAATTCTTGAATTATACCGAAAATTCTCCCTTATGTTCTTGAAGTCCATGAGGTCAAATTCCGATTCAGGTACCTTCCAATGAATTCTCATAACGATCAACCGCACGGTTAAGTTCATTTCTGATCTTTCATTCGCTTCTCTTGAGTGGGATCCACGATTTGACAGCTGGCCAGGTCTTGGGCAGGTGAGTGCCAGGGGGTGGGTCCGTGTCTTGAGGGGTGCGCAAGGGTGCTTAATTTGTCACTCGAGAAATCAAGGTATCACCGCGCCGGTGGTTGCACACAAGGGGCGTATCTGAGCGTGGCCGTTTTCAGGGGTGCAGGGGTGTCCCGGTAGAATGACAGGACGTTCTTGGCACACCCCCCACGCAGCCCCTTCCACTCCGTCGACCCTGCCTCCTGAATGTATTCGATGCCCTCTCCTACAAACAGGGAAGAGGATTAGCGAGTCCATTAAAGTCGCGGACTCTATTATCCGAGGGGCACAGCCTCGGTGACATCAACCGCCAGCCAGGGGCGTAGACAGGGGTTGACGGTGGATCGTGGTCTCTGACCCCGGTACACGTGAGGGGTTGGTCTATCGACGAGGTGGACGGACAGAAATCGATTAGTTTACTCCACGATGTTTCATTGCTTCCGTTATTATACCAATTTCACTATTTTATTCCGGCCCCCTCATTAATTAATCAATCATTAATGTGGTAGGACTCCGAATTAATGGAAATTGTAAAATATAAAAGAACGTAAAATTGGAGAACGTTAATTCGGTATCTTTCTTTTCAATTATATTCAGTTACTTCTCCAGGAGGGTTATTATATGGCTTAAATTTGATACCATTCAAATTAATTCTGTTTCTTGGCGTAGAACTACGTTCTTCCTCAACTTACGTCACATATACGGTTCGTATTGGGGAATTGAATGTCAGGAAAAATTGATAGAAGTATGGCTTTTCCGCCATGCTGCCTATATTTACATGGAGCTACTGCATCGGCATGGTATTCGTAAAAAATGTTGGATAGCTTTGAGACGTAGCCGCCATGTATCGTACTTCTCGTGTCACCATCCTGGGCTTATCGTGCATGATCCTATCGAATCTGCAGAGCATCGTTATCCAATAAATGATAACTGTATACACACCGTTAGCTTCACTCGACTCGATGATTTGTTTCATCTACATTGAGGGTAAACTACGGGCCGTCAATTGTTTCTCTGCTTTTCAATGACGAAGTTCACTTTTTCGTGGAAAAATTGAGCACGCAGCAGGACGCGGAACAAGGTCCGGGATGCTAAGTCGGAACCGGAAGGCTCGGCTTCGGGAAATGGGCGAAAAATGTTGCGGTCCAGAAACGGGGTCCTAGGACCCGCGCCATTGGCAGGGAGTCATGGAGGCAAATTACAAAGGGAGGATTACCGGCAGCTGGGCTACAAGGGAGCCATCTCTTTTGGGTCTCGCGAGCGAGCCATCCTTGTCGTTCAAGGGCTCTTTGTCCTTCGATGCATTGCTAACATAATTATCGGAGTTATAACGGGCCCATGACATATAGTTCATGCATATGGTGGTCAGGGGGGAAACGTGAAGCCACATCGGTCGAAATCTAGGAAGAATTCCCAAACATGTAAATGGGTTAAAAGTATAAATATTTCAATGTTGGACTTTAAATATTTTAAAACGGATAGTGTTAGTACATTATACTAAATTATACACAAAAAGAGACGCATATCGGGTTGCATGTCAACAGCTTCTTATCGGAAGCGGCGTGATTGCTCCATTTTCGGGTCAACCGCGTACTTCGGCCACTTCCTCTCGTGAGAAAAGTTTTTCCCCAGGTTAGAAATTGCCGGCTTCGGGATTGGACAGCTCAGTTTCGAAACGACGAGACAGCGAAACCGCGAACTCGCGGAGTAAGTAGACACGCGTTAGTCCGTGTGGTGCGTGGACCGAGTTTCGCGATCGAAGCGCTGAAAGCAGGAATTACGAGCAGTACGCTCCTAATTACGCGGCAAATGGAATGACAGATTTTCCGTAGTGTCCTAAGCGATTCGTCAATTAACGATCGAATTCATTTACTTACATGAATGTCCATATTAGTCTAAGTATTCTGGTAACTTACGTAGCCTTTCATAAGCCCAGAAAAATAATAAAAGAAATATTGGAAAAACTTACTCTACAAGAAACTTGATTTTTGAGGTCAAGACATTTAGTAAATTTTCAGGAGATATATTTATTCGGCGCATTGTCCCAAAGTAATTTGATTGGATGCTGAAATTGAAGGTGAAGGATATACAATTTATTTTTAATGCTTTAATTACTTTACATGATTAATTTACTAGTATTGAGAAATTACTGTATGAAACGTGTGGTTTTTGAAGTTGAGGATTTCCTTAATATTTCGGGAGATTTGTTTATTCCACGGGGAGCTACAATGCAATTTGCTCCGATGAGCGTTATCGCCAAGGCGATTTCTAAAGTAGGACCACGCTGAGAGCGACACGAGCGTGTGAATCGGGTTTGCGGTGTGATTCCAATAATTGTGCCTAATCCTAAGGGTGGCAGCACACGACCTGGTGGGTGAAACCCCGGTAACCCTCTCCTGTCCGCTTCATCCACCCCTCTTTCATGGTACTAGACCGCTTGTCCTGCATTAACGCCGATATGACGGGATTTGTTTCAATAACAGGGACGCTCGGAGAAATATGAGCGAGTACGCGCTAAGGCGGATTACTGTTGACGACAGC